TTGAATTCAACTAAACAATCCAACACTGTCTAGCAGTCTATAATATTAGTGGGTTATCCTCAGAAGTTACTGACTTGAGCCTTTTACAGCTGGTCGTATTTAATATGGCTTTACTTTATATACCTTGTTTTTATACTTTTCCGCTGGATGATTAAGACCAAGATAAAGCAAGATCTATATACCAAGAAATGTAGCTTTGTATCTGATAAGGTCAGTCAAGTCCCCTCAGGATTTATCCTGTAACCCTGTACCACACTTGTAGATCCTTTGTCAGTGTCAGCCATGAGGATGAGTCATGGCCATTGCTTGACCAATTTGCTCTCTGTGAAAGCCTGAGAGAATATTTTTTCTCTCCATGTGACTCTCCCCAGGCATACATCATCGATCACATTCCTCTGTGGCTCCATAATCTCCTTGATCAGAAAATTTGGGGCACAGCTGAGTTACATGATGTTACAGTCCAGGTTCTCCTATGTTCCGAGTCTTCCCTGACCTTGAAAGCCTAGGGCCAAAATGTTGGCTGAGCCCTTCCTTTTTTCCAGTTTTGATCTGCTAACTTAGGTTGTTAAACCTCCAGAAGAGAAGCTTATTATTAACCTGCAATATATGCTGTTCGGTCTGTCCTGTTACAATTCTGTATATGGTTAAATTTCTAAGTTTCTTTGTAAAAATATGTAAATGCTTATTTCTACTTTTTTTAAATTATTTTTCCTTCATATTCTGTAAGGACTTAAAGTTCAACATAATATTTGATGGAAAATACCTGTTCCATGATATGCCAAAGATGTTTGTTATTTAGACAGAGAGGGTAAACCGAACTCTTGGTCCTTCTGAGGAAGAGAATGGTGCAGTCCATGGGGATCGGGGCCCAAAGGGTTTGGGGAGAGCGGTGCTGGCACTCCTGGGTCCCCAGTGCCTCTGTGCCAGGAGACACAGTTCAGAGGGCTGTGCTGCTCAGATGCTGCTGCAAGGAGGACACGGGCATACGGCAGCACCGTGCGCACCTTGGGGGAGCCAAGGGGGGCAGTGCTCAGCCTAGGGACCCCCACGTGCCCTTGGCTTCTCCTCAGACCCCGGCTCCCTCTGGTCCTCTCAGGTGCCAGAGCTACATCCTTCCACAAATCAGGTGTGACCTCTGTGACTCCTCTCCTTCCAGGTGGCAGACCCGGTGGTCACATTCTGTGAGACAGTGGTGGAAACATCTTCCCTCAAATGCTTTGCTGAAACACCCAATAAGAAGTAAGCAGGATGGGAAGGAAGATAGCTCAGTGGAATAAGTGCTTGCCTGGCAAGTGCAAGGTCCTGAGTTCGGTCCCTGGTACTGCAAAAAAAAAAAAAAAGCTGGAAGCCAGGCCAGGGGATACAGGAGGCTCAGCATCACAAGTCCCTCCCCAGCCTAGGTAGCACCTCTGCAAGACCCTTCTCAAAATTAAAGTATGGGCCTGTGTGGCGCAGTGCAGAAGGCCTGGGTTCAGCCCCCCCAGTGCTGCAGACAGGAGTGTCCCTAGGGTACCAGCCTGAAGACCCCAGCTCACCCCAGGCTGAGGAGACAGACTGCATTTGGTGGGGCTGGGACCCCTGCCTTAACTCCATTGTTTGTCCCTCTCCTTGGGGCATGTACTGTGGATCTGTATCTGGGGAGCCCCAGAGAGCAGAACCAGTGGTTGAACTCAGGCGCTTGCCTGGCGCCAGGCAAGTGCTTATTCTATTGAGCCATCTCCCCAGCCCCCTAGAGAGTTTTGTGGTGCTGGTTCTATCATGTGATTGTCCCACAGTACTACTGCACACCATAATGTTTCTGTGGTTTGGGCCTCATGTGCTGACCACATACTCTCTGCCACTGAGCTACACCCTAAGCTCGGCCTTTCTAAAAGCAGCAGCCTGGCTAGGCAAGGTGGCTCATACCTGTGATACAAGCACTCAGCAGGCTGAGGCAGGAGGATTGCCCCAAATTTGAGGCCAGCCTGGGTTACGTAGCTAAGCTCAGGGCCAACCAGGGTGAGACCTTGCCTGAAAAAAAAAAAAAAAGGCTGAAATGAAGATGGATACACCCTCGCCATGGCCCCTCTCCCATGCCCCTCACTGCATCCCCAGAGACTAAGTCCTGAGGCTCCTCTCATAGTCTTGTCCTTTGTTCTAGGAACAAGATCACCATGATCGCCGAGCCTCTGGAGAAGGGACTGGCCGAGGACATCGAGAATGAGGTGGTGCAGATCACGTGGAACAGGTAAGCCTGTGCCCTACCCCAGGGGTTCTGTGAAGCACACAGCCCAGGCAGATGACCCGCTTTCCCTTTTCCTTTCTCTTCCCTCCCCGGCTAGGAAGAAGCTGGGCGAGTTCTTCCAGACCAAATACGATTGGGATCTGTTGGCCGCCCGCTCCATCTGGGCCTTTGGTCCTGATGCCACTGGACCCAACATCCTAGTGGATGACACCCTGCCCTCGGAGGTGGACAAGGCCCTCCTTGGCTCTGTGAAGGACAGCATTGTGCAGGGCTTCCAATGGGGGACCAGAGAGGGGCCCCTCTGTGATGAGCGTAAGTGCCCCCCTGCCAAGGTTCACTGGATACACGGGGCCACCCAGAGCCCCCAGCTCCCCCTCCCTAGTCTTGGGGCTGATACTGAGTTCGTCCTAGAAGCAGTCATTTCCACCCGAGCACTCGTCTTGATCCTGAGAAGGGTCAGTTTTAGGTGTGTCTCAGGGATTTGCCCACGGGAGCCTGGCGTGCTGGCATGCACTGAAACCTTGGCACTCTGGGAGGCTGAGGCAGGAGGATCACAGATTCAAGCCTAGCCTGGTGATGTAGTAGGGTCTCATCAAAAATGTAGAAAAGGCCAAGGACATTGGCCAGTGAGTCACCACTAGAGCAAATAAATGACCCATAAGGACTTTGTGGGACCAGATGCGCAGTTCTTAGAAGACTTTCTAGCTTCCTGAAGGGGCACATAGTTCAGTTTGCTCTGCTGCCACAGGCCTTAGTGCCAGGCCAGGTCTGCCCCATGCAGGGTTCTAGGGCTGAAGGGCCCTCTGCCCTCCTGCCCTGGCCCTTGGCAGCTGTCCTGTCTTCTCCCAGTGATTCGCAATGTGAAGTTTAAGATCCTGGATGCTGTGGTGGCCCAGGAGCCCCTGCACCGGGGTGGAGGCCAGATCATCCCCACAGCACGGAGGGTGGTCTACTCTGCCTTCCTCATGGTAAGGGGACTGAGGGGCTCGGCTGGGGGTGGAGCTCTTAGACCTGGGCACCTTGGGGTCTATCTGAGCCTGCCCTCACCCCTCAGGCCACACCCCGTCTGATGGAGCCCTACTACTTCGTGGAGGTACAGGCACCCGCAGATTGTGTGTCCGCTGTGTATACCGTCCTGGCCCGACGCAGGTGAGTGGCCTGGGAGGTGGGGTCCAGGGGTCCTGACCGCACCACAGCCTGAGGGCACAGCCTGAGCCAGGAGCTGGTGGGGTTGTTGACAGGGTGGCGTCCTCTGCACAGAGGTGGCTAGTGGTCACTGGGTTCCCTTGCTGGTGACTTGGGGCTGTAATGCGTTTGAGAACAGCAGAACCCAGATGTGCCTGGGCTTCCTGCATCTGTGCCAGGAGCCCAGCCCTCAGAGGGAGGACTGGGAACCAGGCCCTGCCCTTCATACAGTCCTATCCTCAGGCCTTCTGGGTTTTTATTTTGAGGTAGGATCTTGCTAAGTTAACCAGGCTGGGCTCAAACTGAGGACCCTCCTGCTTCAACCTCCCAGAGCATTGGGATCACAGGTGTGCACCACCACATTGGCCTGGGACCCACCTGTCTTTCTCTCTCAGGGGGCACGTGACTCAGGATGCACCCATTCCAGGCTCCCCTCTCTACACCATCAAAGCTTTCATCCCGGCCATCGACTCCTTTGGCTTTGAGACTGACCTCCGCACACACACACAGGGCCAAGCCTTCTCCTTGTCGGTCTTCCACCATTGGCAGGTGAGAGCTCATGGCTGGCACCAACCTCTGGGCTGGGGGATCCCCGCTGAACTGTCCCTCTGGACATCCTGGGAAAGTGTGAGGCCCTGTGTCAGGTAAGGCCCTGTGCCTTCTAGATCGTGCCCGGCGACCCCTTGGACAAGAGCATCGTCATCCGGCCCTTGGAGCCGCAGCCAGCCCCACACCTGGCCCGCGAGTTCATGATCAAGACCCGGCGCAGGAAGGTGCGTGTTCCCAGCTCCGGGCCTTTGCCTTAGATCAAACTCAGGACTTTGCACTTGGCAGGCAGGTGCTGCACCTGTGCTACAGCCCTGCCCACTGGGCCTCTTCCTGTGCCATAAACACCAGGGTTAGTACACTGGGTGGAAAGGTGTAGTCCCCATTCTCCTGCGGCTGGGACCTGGCTGGGGGTTGTGGGTCCCTGCCCTGCACCGCGCTGGAGCGCCTGCTGTCCTCCCTGCAGGGCCTGAGTGAGGACGTGAGCATCAGCAAGTTCTTTGATGACCCCATGCTGCTGGAGCTGGCCAAGCAGGACGTGGTACTCAACTACCCGATGTGAGCCTCGGGCCAGCAGGGGGATCCGCGTCTGGGGAGCCCCAGAGAGCTTGGTGGTGCTGGTTCTCTCACATGATTGTCCTGCAGTCCTGCTGCACACTGTAGTGTTTCTGTGGTGTGGGCCTCATGTGTTGACCACGTGCTGTGGGACCCACTTGTGGTGCCATGCACTGGTGTGGTTGCCCCAGGAACAGCACAGCCGGAAGCACTGTCTCTGGAACTTGCACAGACTTGCTTTCTCACCCATTCCACTGTACTGCAGCCCCTTGTTGTGAATGAAGAGAACACTGGCCTTTGGCCTCCTGGCTTTCATCTTGCAGCGTCCGGCCTCAGCTGCGTTCTGGGTGGACGTGCACTCCCAGCTGCTGCCTCTTCCGGCCCCATCCCCAGGGAGCACTGGGTTGGCGGGTCTCTGTCCTCCCTGAGCTTCCCAGCCCCTCTGTCCCCCAGTGCACACACCCACGCATGACACCTAGCTTTTGGGCACTGCTTTATTGGGCACCTGCGCGACCCCTGCTGCCCTCGGCATCCCGCGCTGTCCGCTTGCTGTAGTCTCTGTACAGCGAGTACATGGTGCCTGCACAGGAAGGAGGAGAAGGAGTGCCGCTGGCACCAGTCCCTGTTACCATCCTCTGCTGACCCAGGGTCCCTGACTTCGGGCGCCTGGGCTCCCCCCAACTCCTTCCACCCCAGGACCCACAGCGCCTCCAAGCAACCCGCCACATGTGCACCTGTACCAGCATGCGCTGAGTACCTTGTCAAACCCTTCAGGCAGAGGGGGGCTGTTGTCATGCACCTGGGGAAACAGGCAGTGAGCAGGATTCACTGCTCACTGGTATTACCTGTCTACTTTTTTTTAAAGACAAGAAGGGCTTCAACTAACTTGAAGTCCTCCTTCCTGAGGCTACTGCTCTCAGTTCCAGAGAGGAGGGTGTCAGTGCCTGTTCTGCTGAGTAACTTCCTCACCTCCTAGGCGATCACCCAGTGGGGGTGTGAAACCGGGTTCCCTGAGCCATCTCAGGACCATTGGCCCTGGATCTTCCCAAGCCCCCAGCCAGAGCTTACCTAGCAGGATGGCACCCACAGCGCATGCCTGTGCAGCCACACGCGTATGAATCAGGTGTACAGACAGCTTGGTGGATCCGCGAGCCCTCAGCCGGTGGATCCTGTATGTGGCCACTGCCAGACAGGCTGCCAGGCCTGTAGACAGAGTGACCTGGGCCTCAGTCCCCACACCACAGTCTTACAGAGAGCTGGGGTCACTGGCTTGAGTGTCCCCTGTGGGCTGTCACAGCTCTGGTTCCTCACAGATCCCCCTCCATGTGCAGAGGGTTCATCATTCCTGTACTCCCAGCCCTGCAGCTGGCCCTGCCTCCCCTCCTGAGGCTGGCTGGCGTGGTGCCTTGTGCTTGGTTACTGTCTCTTCCCTGCACAGCTGTGTGTCTGTTGTGAGCTTGGGCCTATGCAGCGGGCAGAGCACCCCAATCTGTGACCCCGCCCCAGCCCAACCTCCCCACTCACCTGCAGGCACCAGTGGCGACTCCCTGCTCTTTCTTAGCAGCTTCTCAGGCACATTCTCCCTGCCCTCAGGGGGCATCCACTGGCCTTTGTCAGCAGACATCCTGGGCACTGATGTGAGTGGCTGGGTCCCTTCCCAGCTCTAGCCCTATCCTGAAAGGCACAGTCAAAGCTGTACCACCTGCTGGGGCTCTCAGCACTTACGTACTACTCTGGAGATGTTCCACCCACACTTGGGCCACACTTCCTGTCTAATATCTGCCTCTCCCCTACTATGCCTCCCACGTCCCTAGGGTACAGCCCTGAAGCTAAGACAAAGAACTGGAAAAGTCCAGAGGGCAGTGCTTGAGTCCAGTGGCCCCACCATGTAGGTGTGTGCCAGTTGGCTCCTGAGTGGCCATGGAGCTGTAGTTCATGGTCCCAGCACTGCTCACCACAGCCCGTGTGGACGTCAGTGAGGCATGGGTCCTGTGCCTTTGCCCCAAAGGGACAGGCGTAGCTAGAGTTCCCAACCTGGGGCTTCCACCCCAGGACTGCAACCTGCCATGTCAGCCCCAGCCACACACTGGGCAGAGCAGGGCCCTGCCAACCAGGTGCCCTGATGCTGCCAGCTTCCTGTCCCTGCCCTGTCCTAGGGGAATAAACATGGCCCTGGGTTCCCAGCAGGTCCCCAGCCCGCAGCATTTACCCAGGAGCTGAAATGCAGGAGGTCTGGCTGGCTGAGCTGGTCACAGGCTGATGTTGAGCTGCTGCTGTGGGGTCAGGAAGCAGCAACAAGCTTTATTGGATCCTCTGAGGTCAGAGGTGCGGGCGGGCGGATGGGAGAGAACAGGGAGTTCTTAAAGCTTTTGTCTGCTGAGCTGCCCCAGAATTCAGCCTGCAGCCTGGTGAAGGGGAGCTGTTTCTGCTGCCGGCCGGCCGCCTGGTCATCATTGACTGCTAGGACAGCTCCATGTGGGGAGCCCAGTTGGAGATGAGCCGGGGGACAGGTCAGAGCCCTTGGGCCCCAGCTCCCATGCTGAAAGGGCCCTTTGCTTGCTTTTACTTTCGGTCTTGATTTTGTGGTGCTGGGAATTGAGTCCAGGGCCTTGTCTGTGCCTGGCCAGTGCACTGGCAGAGGGTTTCATCCCAGCCCTTCATTCTTCCTGTTTTATATGATAGGGTCTTGCTAAATTAGTGAGCTGGACCCACACTATGATGCTCCTGCCTCAGCCTGCTGTGTAGCTGAGCTTACAGGTGTCCCCTTCTGCCAGTTTCAGTTCTCTTTCTTTCCTCATGGACTACATCACCAGCCCTTTGTTTTTTATTTTGAGGAAAGATCTCAATGAGTGGGGGCTGGGAAGATGGATCCGTGGAATAAGCACTTCCCTGGCAAGTGCAAGGGCCTGAGTTCAATCCCCGGTTCCGAAAAGAAAAAAAAAAAACTCACTGAGTGGCTTAAATGCTGGGATTGCGGTGAGTTCCTAAGTGCTCCAGCTGGGAGGCAGGCTGTGTGGGCCATCTTGAGCCTGTGAAGAGCATGTGTGGACCAGGAAGAACCATTCTGTTGACCCTTCAGTGCTGTGTCCAGCCCACTCTGGTTTCAGGGTGACAGTGATAGGCATTGGTGCTTACTAGGAGTCTGGGTCAGGGTTTCAGGCCACATGACTTCTAGGACACAGTGACCAGCATCCAGGTCTGGCTGTCCCACCGCTTGCCTGCCTGACTGCCATGCCAGGCTGCAGGGACCCAGGAAGACCCTATAGACAGAAAAGCTCAGGGCCAGGAGCCTGGACCGCAGGGGGAAAAAGCACATGCTGAGTGCACACCAGGGGCCTCTCCAAGTGACTTGGCCTTCACAGCCTGGGTGAGCAGCCAGGAGTCAGTTGTTGCCCTGTCCAGATGACCACGTGCCCACATCTCCGTGTCTGGCTGACACAGCAGTGGCAGTTGCTTGGTTTACTGGGTGCCTTCTCTCGGCCAGGCAGTGAGCTGACTGCTGTACACCCTTGTCTGTCTGTCTGCAGCAACAGCTGCCCCAGTAGTTCCAAGGGGTTCAAGGCCTGCGCTGGTCTGCAGCGGAGCTTGGGCTCCATTTGGGTCTTGCTGCAGTCATGGTAAATGACAGAGAAAAAGGACAGAGTTCAGTCCTCACCTTGTGGGGGGTAATGCGTGGTGTGTGTTGGGAGGGCTTGAGATGGGAAAACTCCCATGAGAACACAGTAACCAAAACTTCAAGGAGCAAAAAAAAAAGACAGGAACTCCAGTACGTCCTTAGGGCCGGGGAGATGGCTCAGTAGGATAAGCGCTTGACTGGCAAACACAAGGATCTGAGTTCAATCCCTGGTTCCGCCAAAAAAAAAAAAAAAACAAAAAAAAAAAAAAAAAAAGACAGGAAAACTTCAAGGAGCATATTTCTGGACAGCCTTGTTCTAGTAAACAGATAAAATTATGATATCATTTTTGTGAATGTGCCAAGTCTTCAATAATTGCTTCCATGTAAACATTTCTGCATTAGTAATTTGCTTAGTAAACCCTTCATTCCAAAGCAGGTTGCGTTAATAGAAATTCTGATTTAGAGGAGTTAAGATGAGGCATGCAGACGGATTGAGTGTTCTGGCCAGAGATGACAGGTTTTGGCGCTCCTGAGCTCAGGCCTGGGGTGCCTGCCGGCATCTGGGGACTGAGGAAGCAAGGTGAAGCATTCAAGGCCAGCCTGGGCCACATATCGAGGCTCTCTTTACAAACAACTTACTGGGACACCAGATCTCCCAGAGTCTGCCCTTTCTGTCAGATATTAGCATTTACCTACATGTAGGGTTATGGTTTGGATTAAAGAGGGAAATAGAATTGGCTCAAAAGGTCATGATCTTGGTATTCGCTGGTCTCCAAGCCCTGCACACCTCCGCCATCGGTGGGAAGGCAGTGTGGGGGAGGAGAGGGGCCTCCAGCCTGGGAGGACACAGCTGCTATATATAGCCTGGGCTGCAGGCCAATGGGCAGGCGGAGGCTCCTGCCTGCGCTCCAGTGAGTGAGGGGTGACAGAGTGAAGTGGACAGGACGCAGAGGGTGCCCTGGAGAGGGCAAGGGGCAGGGCCAGGGTGGGGGGTGTTGGAGACCCACGGGAGAAAACCCCGAGCCTGAAGAGTAGTTCCCTCAGCCACGGGCGGGGGGAGGGACGTTGCCAAAGATGTGGATTGCTGGAGGCCTTGTCTGGGAGGTGACGTGCTCTCCTTTTAAAAGTAGGAGGAGTTGGGCAAGGGGAGAGCCTGTAATCTCACCACTCTAGAAAGCTGAGGCAGGAAGAAAGCAAGTTTGAACCCAGCTTTGGCAATTGAAGGAGACCCTATGTCAAACTAACATTAAAAAGGGCTCTAGGGGCTGGTGAGATGGCTCAGTGGTCTAAAGCACCTACTTAGAACAAGCTAAGCTAAGTAAAGCAAAGCAAAGAGCAGGGACCGCGGTTCAATCCCCCAGCACCACATGCCAGCCAGCCCCGCCCCCTGATGGGCTGAGCTGGCCACACACACACAAAATAAATAAATAAATGAACAAATGAATAAAAAATTTAAAAAAAAAAAGGGCTCTAGTGGCCCGGGAGATGGCTTAGTGGAATAAGCACTTCCCTGACAAGTGCAAGGGTCTGAGTTCAATCCCTGCTTCCACCAAAAAAAAAAAAAAGGGGTGATAGTGTTTGGGGCTGGTGAGATGGCTCAGTGGTCTAGAGCGCCTACTTAGAACAAGCTTAGCATATCACAGAGACCGCGGTTCAATCCCCCAGCACCACAGGTCAGCCAGCCCCGCCCCCTGGTGGGCTGGGCTGGCCATACACACACACACACACACACACACACAAATTAAAAAAAATAATAATAAAGCTTCATATAAAAAGGGCTCTAGATAGGTGGGCAGTAGAGTGCCCCAGTTCAATCCTCAATGTCACATGGATACACAGTCCTGTCATTTAAGGTGAGGTCGGGGGCCGGGGAGATGGTCCAGTGGAATAAGCGCTTCCCTGGCAAGCGCAAGGGCCTGAGTTCAGTCCCTGGTTCCGCCAAAAATAAATCAAGGTGAGGACAGCAGATGACAAGTGTGTGCTTTGGATTGAAAGGTCTTGCTAAGGTCTTTGGGATGTTTTACAATTCCCAGGTTACCCAGTGTCATATAGAACAACTCCAGAAAAAACTATGTCCCAAGGGCCTTCAAGACAGGCTGATCCAACAGAGAGCGCTTTATTTCCAATATGCTTGACCGTGGCCAAAAGGCCACGAAGCGATTTTATTCCCGTTGCACAGGCCAGATCCCACAGCCAGCGATGGCTAGGGCTGCCCTTGCAATGGCCGTGATGGTCACTTTCACCCACTTGGCAATGCAAAATCAATATACAGCAACTTGTAAGCACCCTGTCTTTGAACCACCTCAAACATGAGTAAACAATTGCAGCGCTTGCACCAGGCGTCTCAGACGTCCAGGCAGAGCTGACCTGCCCCAGGGCTTCTGCGTGTCCGCACAGACCTCCTCACACCTCTCCTGGCCTCATCCCCGAGTTCATGTGTGTGGGAAGGCCAGAGCAGGTGCCTGACCCTGCTGCCCTTGGCTCCTGAATGGCACCTGTCCCTAGACCTCCTGGAGAAGTTGAACAAGATGGAAAATCCAGCCCCGCAGCCTCCTAGCAGCTCCTCCCAGACACTTACTTGCTTTATGTATATATGTAGCAACAGAAAGATCTGCTTCAGTGATACCTTTGTAGGTAATGTCAGGGAGAAATGGCGCCCTGTGCCTGTGCACAGGTTAATGGGTTCTGAAGGTCCTGGAAGCAGGAGGCTGGAATGTGCTCTCCCGCCCATCCCTGCCTGGTTCCCGGGGAAGCTCTCTTGGGCCTCCCAGACAGAGGACGCTGCCCTCAGCTCCGCAGCCAAGTGAGGACCCAGGAAGGGTGTAATGGAAACAGTGACACACTACAGCCCTGCAGCTGACCTGGTTGCTCCCAAACCACAGAGCCCCAGGGCGATTCTGGAGTTCTCAGAGTGAATTTGAGCCTTTCCTGGCTGGCCACTTGTGACTAAAAAGCCATGTGGTTCTCATAGCCCTAGTCCCTGCCACCTTGCAACCAGGACTAGAGACCAGATCTGTCCCATCCCTTCCCCCCCCCGGGGGCCCTGGGGGGCCCTGTGGTTCCTGTGCTCTGTATCTGAGACCTCTTGGGTGCCTGGCTCAGCTCCAGAGTGGCATCCAGTGCCACTGCCTTCAGGGAGCCCAAATCACTGTGATGCCCACTTGGCTCTGAATCCTGGGGATGCCTGGTCCCCTGTGCCCCCATTCTGGGTCCCTGGCCCATTTCTCACCCAAATGGGACTAAAAGGGTGTTCCCAGCTAGCAAGGAGGAGAGTCCTGGCTGGGAGACAGGAGCCCCAGTCACGTGCAGATTTTTAAGTTCTTCGGGGGTAAAGTACCCTAGTTTTCTTGAGTCTCAGTTCTACCTTTAAAAACTTTTTGTGTGGTTCTAGGGATTAACACAGGATCCTGCACAGTAGGCAAGGTCTTTATTCCTGGTGCGTGCCTTTCTTTCTTTCTTTCTTTCTTTCTTTCTTTCTTTCTTTCTTTCTTTCTTTCTTTCTTTCTTTCTTTCTTCTGAGCAGAATATATTTATTGAGAGAAAGAAAGTTCCTGTCCAAGAGAGGGACAGGAGGGGGGCCGGAGCAGGCAGTTCCCCCTTGGTGCTTTCTAAAAGGTTTCTGAGTCACTGTCTTGCTAAGTTGTTCAGGCTGTCCTGGAACTTTCCCCAACAGCTGGAATCAGGTGTGTGCCACCCTGCCTGGCTCACTTTACTGTCTGTTGTCTTCCCTGTTCTTCTTTTTTGTGGCCTGGAATCTGAACCCAGAGCCTGAACATACCAAGGGTTGTGGACTTCTCCTGATCTTTAAAATCTGGTCTGTCAGAGCAGACAGTGCTTCAGGTTTGCTGGCAGGCCAACAGATGTAGATTAAAACCTCATTGTTCAGCCTGCGGGAGGCCTGGTGGTGGTAAGTGGAAAGGCCTTCCTGAGGAGCAGGGTGTGGCGCTGCAACCTGCAACCTCAGTGCTCCAGGTAGCGAGACAGAAGATTGAAAGATGAAACCCAGGGGCCGCGGGCCGCGAATGGAGCGCAGTGGCAAAATGCCTGCCTGACAAGTGCAAGGTCCTGAGTTCGATTTCTAGTACCAAAGGGGAAAAAAAGAGTTGAAGTCCAATCTGGGTAAATTAGTAAGAATCTGCTTCAAAATTA